GGCGACACACATTGTTGAATTTGATGTAAAAGTGAATCACGGCGACACCTTTGGTCATTTCATTGAAGGAATAACTTTGACCATGGTAGATTGCTACACAATCCTTACATAGAAAATAATTTTGAAGAAGATTCCTTCGAGTCCAATTCTGTTCTTCCAAACCATGTTATCAATAACAAACACTCTTTTGATCGCAATTCTAACATTGAAATTCTACATATCTCTGTGACAAAGGAAAGAAACGATACCTCCTCGAACCCTTGAAAATCAATGAAGATGACAAAAATTCCAACCCCAACTGCCTCAACGATTAAACTCAATTCGATAGTTCTGAATTATTCAGCTCCCAATTACTTTACCTATAATTCTGTTTGTGTTTCATATCACTTCGAATCGAAACATTTCTTGGTTTTTGACTCGGGTGGAGTCATTCTGATGTTGAGTTTTGTTCTTAGCGTCATTATTGTTAAGTGTCATTTGCTGATTAGTTACCTAACCCAATTCAACAAACCTACATGTTAGTTCACTCAAATATTTTCTTATTATCAAACAATTTTGAAAATTTCGCTTTCATGAAGCTGTTTGAAAATAGATCGAGAAAAGTGTTCATCAAGTAATCTTCTTCACCAATAATGGTAGATATATTCAGTTTTGTTCACAATACTTGGAAACTAACAAAAGCGTTGTTTCTTCTCACAGATTTCCTTCTCTTCATAGATTTGCTGAAGATGGAGGATTCATCCTTCAAAAGTTTTCTTTCTGTCCATGACCGTTGGTGGAGCTGTGACTGTAAGTTGTCCCATCCCTCCCAATTCATATCACCACCACTGTGAGTTATGGATCATCTACGTTGGTTACAAAAATAGTAATAATCAATGTTCCCATCAACATACATAAAATAAGAACTCACATGGCGAATATATTTTCATCATGCATTAGATGTTTTTTATCATATTTCACTTTCACTTTTCACCGAGCTGATTCTGCTTTTTGACTATACTAGCTCTAGAAGATCTAAGAGCTCTAAGCGAATTCCGATGACAACATCAAATATCCTCAATAAATGTAGATGATAGATCATAAAATATCACCAGGTACCGGTACAAAGGACAATGGTGTTGCACACTTGTCGAATTAACGCCACATTCCAATTTCACATCGATTATTCCTAATATGAATAGTACTTGATGCAATGATTGGTTATTCAGAATCATCAGAAATATATTTTTTGATAACTAAAATCGGCACCTCTGGGTAACGCAATCTCTCGATGACGTCACACACCTTTCCACGTGGCAAAAGTTATATTTCTGTTGATATATGCGTCCATATTCTTCAACAACCAATGACTGCATAACCACATATTTTGTGACGCTGCCCAATTCATAATTAAATATCACCTCCTGAGATTCACTATGACCAATGACAACAGTACTCACATTCACAGAAGACAAGGGTTCCATCTGGTCGCTAATGAGTATTACCAATAGAGTACTCATATATCTTGCAAAATATCCCCGGTTTCAATGAGAATATTCTTCAATATTCCTTATATTGATCAATATTTTATTTATTCTGAAACTATTTTGAGACTATGGCAACAGCGTCATGCTATGAGTTCACGAAAATATCAGGAAAGCAAGAAAAAAGATTAGAAAGATTGACATATGATGTCACGAGCATTCCCAATCTAGCCAGATTTGTGTCTCTGATCAAGAATTTTTTTCTGGTTCTCACGAGAGAAAATCGTGAGAATCAAGTGGAAAAGGAAGGAATTGGTGTTCTTTTCAAATTTCTGGAGGTTATGTGCCTATTTCCAAGAATTATCGAATTCCTTATCAGATACCATTGAGATCGATGTAAAATGTCACAATGATAAAAGTTACTGATGTTCCTGCCAATTTGAGAAATTAGTGAATTCCCCATCGGAAACCATCTAGATCGACGAAAAATGTTACGAGGATTTCAAATCTACACACACTGGTGTCCCTAATCCAACGGATGGAAAAACAACTGTTTTTTCCACCAATTGTCAAGAATTGCTGAATTCCTCATCAATAATTGACCTAAAATTTCACGATGATTTTCGATCTATACACATTTGTGTCTCTAATTCAACGGATAGAGAAATAAGTGATTCCATCTCCAATACTAGAGGATTGCCAAGAGTCTGATTAAAAACTACCTAAATCGACGTTACATGTAACGAGTATTTCGAATCTATTAAGATATTTGATCCAAATACAACGGATAAGAAGATTACTGATTTACCCGCGAATTTGCAAAAATTTTCATGAATTGTTGAATTTCTCATAGAAAACTATTCGGATCAATGGTATCTATATAATTCAATGTGAAGAGATACTGATCTTCTTGGCCATTTCAAGAATTTTTGAATTTCTCATTGTAACTCGCCCTGAAATGTCTAGACGATTCTAATTCCCAAAAATTGCTGGATTACTATCAAATACCAGCTAGATCGACGTTAATTGTCATGGAGATTCCCAGTTGCGTAGCGCGATGCCCTATTCCCACGATGCCCAAGTTTCACCATGCCCACCTTCATGTCGACGATTACGAATATTTCTGAAAAGCGCAACGTTGATAGGTGACAAGCAAAATTCAGGAACCACAATATTCCCAACACGCCCACTTTCCACAGATTCCCACCATGCTCAATTCCTACCATGCCCACCCTCCTTGAATTTCCACCCTGCTCACTTTTCATACATTCTCACCATGCCCAATTCTCACGATACCTAATTTTCACCATGTTAACTTTTCATACATTCCCTCGATGCCCAATTCTCACCATGCCCAATTCCCACGATACCCAATTCTCACCATGCCTAATTCTTACCATGCCTACTTTTTCATACATTCCCACCATGTCCACTTTCCATACCTTCCCACGATGCCCTATTCCCACCATGTTCACTTTTCATGCGTTACCACGATGTCCAATTCCCAGAATGTCCACTTTTTATACATTCTCACGATGTCCAATTCTGACCATGCCACGTTCATCATGGTGGAAATAAAAAGAAGGTGGACATGTTGAGATTCCAAGGAAGGTGACATGGTGCGAATTGGGCATTGTAGGAATCGGGCATCGTAGAAATGTATGAAAAGTGGGCATGGTGGAAATCTGAGGAAGGTGGGCATGTTAGGAATTGGGCATCGTGAGAATCTATGGAAGGTGGGCATGGTGAGAATTTTGTTATTTCTGATTTTTTTCCTTGACCTGGCTACGTTGCGCTCTTAGGCAATCTTCATAATCGTCGAAATGAAGGTGGGTATCGTGAGAATTTGGCATCGTGGGAATTGGGCATCGTGGAAATTCGGAATCGCAGGATGCTCCCAGATTCCCAATCTATACACATTCATGTCTCCAATCCAGCGGATAACAAAGAGACTGATTTTTCTGCAAATTTTCAGAAATTATTGAATTTCTCATTGAAAACCATCTAGATCACCGTTGAATTCTAAGAGGACTCCGAATCTATACAATTTTGTAACTTCAATCCAGCGGATGACGAAGAGACAAAAAACTGTCACCAATTTCTCCGCTTATTTTCAAGAGATGTCGCATTCCGTATGAAAAACCATTAGATCGACTGGATATGTCACAAAGATACCCAATCTATAGATATTTGTGTCTCTTAATCAATGAATTGAGGAATTCTTCACTTTTTTGCCAATTCGAAAATTTGCTGAATTTATCATTGAAAATCATATAGATCGACGAAAAATGTCACGGGGACCTCGAATCTGCACACATCGGTATCTCTAATCCAACGTATTTTTGTTGCTTATTCTCAAATATTTCTGAATTCTTTATCAAAAACAATCTAGATCGACGTGAAATATAACAAGGATTCCAAATATATAATCATTTGTGTCTCTAATCCAAGGGATAAAATAATACTGATTCTCTCGCCAATTTTCGGAAAGTGACAAATTGGTTATTTCTCATTTAAAACCATATAGATTGACGTGAAATATGACGAGGACTCCTATTTATACAGATTTGTGTCTCTTGTTCAACGCATGGAAAAGTTACTAATTTTCCCGCCAATTCTCAAGATTAGTTATATTTTTCATTCAAAACCATCTATAGATTGACTTAAGATTTCACGAGGATTCCCAATCATTTTACATTTGTGTCTCTGATCCAACGGAAGAAATATCTACTGTTTATCCTTCCAATTTCCAACAATAGCAGAATTCCCCATCAAAACCCGTCTAGATTCACGTAAAAAGTCAAAAGAATTCGTAATCTATACACATTTGTGTCTCTCATTCCACGGATAATAAAGTTACCGATTTTTTAGCAGATTCTTTGAAGTTGTTGAATTTCACAATGAAAACTATTCATATCAACGTGAACTTCGACGACACACTGATTCAATTCAACAGGGAAGAATGGATGATTTCCTTGCTAAATCGAGAAATAACTGAATCTCTCATTATCAATCGACGTGAAATGTGAAGAGGACTCCAATTCAGAAAAATTGTTGAATTATTGATCGAAAACTTCCTTGATTGTCGTAATATGTCACGGAGATTCATCCATACACATTTGTGGCTCTTATCCAACGGAAAACAAATTTACTGATTTTCCTGCAAATTTCCACAAATTGTTAAATTTCTCATCAAAAATCATATAGATCAACTCGTTATTCCACGAGGTATCTGAATCTTTACACACTCGTGTCTTTTGTGCAGCAGACAAAGTTCCTGATTTTTTCGCCAATTTCCAGAAATTGTTGAATTCCTTATCAAACATCTGTCAGATGGACCTTAAACGACAAGAATATTCCCAATCCATTCACATTCGTGTCTAGATTCCAAGAAATAAAAAATACTGATTTACCCGCAAATTTTCGAGAATTCTCCTTGAGAAACCAGATAGATTGACATTCAATGTACTAGGATTCCCAGCTGGCAGTATTCAGCCACATTGGTGTCTCTAATCCAATAAGTAAAAAACTCAATGATTTTATTGTTCAGCCTATTTTAATAGCTGACTTCCCTATCAGAAACCATCTAGATCGACGGTGAATGTAACAAGGATTCCCAATTTATACACATTCGAGTGCTTACTCTATCGAAATGTTTATATTACATTCATTGATTCTGTTTACTTATAATGTTCAAACTAATTATCAGGCATGTGTTTCATACTTGGAGTTTAATCATAATAATAATCATGCAACTGTTTCCTCGCAGCTCTCCATAGTTCATTCAGAGAAAGTTCTGAACAAAGTATCGATTTCTTCATCTGAGGATATCACATTTTCTTCCTGTCGTTGGATTGCTTTATCAATTGGAGGAAGATTGAATCTATACAATCTCAATGTTGGGCGTCCGTGCATAGTTTCAGTCCCAGGAACATGAGAAATGTGCGACCTGAGGCTTGCACGTGATAATCTGCTTGCCAAAGATGTGTGAGAGCCTCGACGGATACATAATTTTCTGGTTTCGAAATAACAACCATCACCTTCACCCGAAAATCCTGGAAAGAACCACGCTATCCAATTCTTTCCCATAACATCAGTTAGGTTTCTGTATGAACCGAGATCGAAGGTATGGTTTCGACTCACAAATATGGATGGATTTGACGAATTCTCAATGGTGGTTTTATTCTTGAACATCAACATGACGTGAAAACACAAGAATATTCCTGTTATTGAGCCAAGGACTGCTGCTATGAAGAATCCAATAACAGCAGGCACGTGGATATTTCTTCTTGTCTTTGATTGCCAGTAATATGAAAAAGTTCGGTATGTTGTCCCCATGAAGAAAACACAGTATGAAGTGCAGTAAAATAAACACAATAAGAAAGATTTTTGTGTTGTGTATCCGATGCAATTATTCAACCAAGGACAGTGGTGGTCCATTTTCAAAACGCAGACTCCACAAGTCGAACAATGGTGAGCTCGGTCAGGTTTCAGCAACTTGCAGATTCTGCAGTACCTCAAGAACCCATGCAGTGTCCTGGTCTTCAGTGTGAAATATCGGGAATTGTAGACTTCAAGCAGCACATAATTCTTCTCATCATCAGCACTTTCAACATATAATTTCAACTCGTCTTCAGTCAATTTATACTCTGCTGGTGGCATCGCTATTGGTTCGAACATGGTATATAATAAAGACCAAATCATCATTACGAAAAGGATATTGAAGGATATTAGATTGAGGAGCCATTTTGTCACGGACATTTCGATAGAGAAGCAGAACCCAACTACGTATATGTGGTATGATGAAATTAGGAGAGAAATCAATATGAACGTGCCGATATACAGATGACACTGACACCCACATGACATTTTGGCATCGGATTGTGTGGTGCGCTAGAATAGTACTTGACATTTTCGAGATTAGTGCATATACAATGTGGCCCAACATCAACGGTCGTATTCTCATTATCTTGGTCGTCAAACTCATCCAGAGAAATTGATAGCTCATAGTGAAACGGTAACGTTGACAATCCTCTTTTTGAAAAAACTCAAGTAGTCGGTTTCTCTGCGGTTTAATTTTTGGGGGTGCTTAATCCTAATCTAAAAATGTAAATCTTGAGAGCGTAGGAGATCCTACACATGTTATATTGAGTTCACTTGGACTTGAAGTTTGTATTCTGGTCATAGCTGTCACACTCAAGTTCATCCTTTCCACTTTTTCTCATTCCACATATTGAAAGCTATTTCTTTATAATGAGGAACTACAGTGGTTTTGTTGGCACATTTCTGTCACGTTAGTCCCTCATTATTCATCAGGTTTGATCTGGAAGAAGAATGAATAAATATGAATATAAACAAGGTTACTAACAAAGGAGGTGTGTTCAAGCATTAATATTTGAAATGGTTATTGTAGTAAATTCCGAGAGTGAATAAAGGTGAAATCTTTAGGTGATTTTGTGATTAATGACATCTTATCGATAATGAAATCGTCAAGATCCAAGTCGTTCTTCTGATCATATTGCAAGATATTGCTGCAGACTAGACTGACAGGTTGTCTGGTTATTAAAGAGAGAATGTCAAATCTCAATTTCAGAGTATTTGTAGTATTCATGCTCTCCTTTTGGATTTCCAGCAGATATAATACAATTTTCGACGTGGCATATATCCAGGAAAGTAGTCGAAACCAGATAAGTATTATATCACCAGATTATAATCCTTGAACGCAGAAATTTCAGGTTACACTGCTCGAACGGTCAGCTCATATAGTCGGGGCAAGTGGATCGTGGTTCATTTACTCACCATATCATGTAACTTTGTCAAAAATATAACAATTAGCATAAGGAAGATAGTTCCACCAGTTAAAATTTTATTTGGACGCCATCTACAGAAAATAAAGTTCAACGAACCTCTTTCTTGAGCCAATCCCTGTAGAAAGAAATTGTCTGTGCTGAAGGATAGGGAAACAAATCAAACGAATAAAATTTAGGTTAATTTACTGACTAAAAAGGTTATTCGAAAGAGTATTAAATCTGCATCACAAACATTCATAATATGTGTCACATATAATTCTGACTGCAACTGAAATGTAACTAGTTGTGCATATTTATTATACAGGGTGTTAAATAAACGTTCCTCTATCAGTGAAACTTGACACAATGATCATCAGCTTTGAATAAATCTAATCAATGGAATCAATGGAATATTCCCCAGATATAATGCATTACACCTCCACAGATTTAGGAATATTGAATAATGATTTTATAATTGTACTAGATTCTAAATTGTACTTGATTTTAGATTATAAAAGATTTGATTATAAATGTTTCAACGATCAGTGAGTAGTATATAATATGCAGATGATACCATATGTCAGCAAGAAGGTGAATAAGACAGAAAATGTAGTTAGACCAGAGCTCACCCTAACAACACAGGAATTTTGTAGGTACGTCCCTTTTTTGTCCCGCGGTACAAGGACATGATTGGGGCATCCAAGGGATGTCGCGCAGTGGTTGTCCAGTGGACATCCCGCCCGGTACATCCTCAGGTTATCCTATTCGTGTCCCTGGAATATCTGATATCCATTCACATCTGAGTCATTGAATTTCATCAAAGTATTGGGTTGCATTTTTTTGAAAATGTTTGTTATCCTTCCGGAAAACAATCGTAATGAAGATAAAAATTGAAGTTCAGGACTTCTTAAGAAATTACCATTTTTCGCAAACAGGAATCGTACATGCATAATGCCCCTCATTTTAAAACACCGAAGAATGATATAATAATTATACCCAAATCCTAACAAAGTTGTATTTATCCAGGTTTCTGTAGTTAAGTCCTGTTTATAAATCTGTTTAGTACATAAATCTTCAGGAGGCTCAATAGCCAATGGAGTAAGATGCGTGCCTGATAAGACAAAGGTCCCGGGTTCAATCCGTACTCAACCTACTTTTTTTTTTCCTTCTGACGAAGGGATGTCCTTGGGATATCCTTGGGACGTCCTAGGAATATCCTTTCTTCGTACTTGGTATATCTCAGGGACGTACCAGAAGGACATCCCTAGGATGCCTCTTTTTGTGGAAAGCGGATGTCCCTGGGGCGTCCCTAGTATGTACCATGTCCCGACACAGGATATCCCAGGAACGTCCTCGTAGAGAATGGAGGACGTCCCTGGGAGGTACCCGTGTTGTTAGGGTATTGATATTTCCAGCTTCCAAATTACATCCTGGTCAATTTCATCATCATTTTGGGATCCTGGTTCCAGATTTCATAAGCATACGAGTCTGGTGAGACGTCAGGTGACCTATAAGTATGGTCAGTCCAGCCAGTACGTTGGATTTATGACATCAAGTTGAAAATTATCTCTATCTTCTTGAAATTTACATCAATAGCTTTCCAGCGTTAACAGGAACAGTGAATGGGCTCAATAGTCAGGACAATCTTTCCATGAAGATTGTTCCATATAATCATAAGAAATGCTCACTCTTTCGAGTGCATAAAAAAGCATTTATCAGCAAAATAGTCACATAATCTTCCAGATCCTAAAAGTGAAGATTAAATGTAAAAGCAAGTAGAAGTACAAGCAAAATGTAAAATGTACGTAATAGTGAAAGTCTGGCAGAACAGTTACATAGGAAAAATAGAAAACATGTTATAATAACGTGACCTCAAGACGATGAAAGTTCACACATTAATTTCTTCAAATATGGACCAAATTCCATAAAAATAATAATTTCAAACAATCAAAAATATTCCTAATAATTGAATAGTTACCTCTAATTAGATGTTTCTCAAAAGGAATGGTGGAGTTCATTCAATGGTGGCCAGATGCAGAAATGAACGATTTTCAATTTTTCTGTCGCTTTTCTAGTTGGAAATTCAAATGTCCTTGTCATAAAAGTCAAAAAATCATAGTAACCAAATAGCCAGATTCGATTCAACAAGTGCAATAACCAATACCAGGTTCAAATGAATAATCAATACAAATCAATACAGATCAATAACAATCAGAAAACGCTGAAGGCCTACTCCTCAGACATCATGATATAGAAAAGTTTATCAACCTTGATATGTTACTGTCGCGATCCTGCTCGTTGAAGGTCTGAACGCTGAACTACTGGTTAATGCTACATGGGACAGAAGAATAAGAAGAAGAAGAATTGAAATTACGATTTTGAACCTTAACAACTCGTTTGATATTTCACCTGAATATTTTCAAAACAAACTGGAATGATGAACTTCCATCAAGTCAATAAAACATAACATGAAATTTAAATACAGAATATGCAAATAATATACAGGATGATCTCCGATGTATGCCAGTGACTCGTAGCTCCATAAAATCTGTAACAGAAAAGCTCAAAATATCCTCCAAAAGGGAATGCAAGTTCTCAAAATACATCCAGTGAAAACCAGAGTTGAATCAATTACTCTGAACAGGTCAATTGAATACTTGGTACTATCAATGTTTCATAGAAAAAGTAACATTTACTGACAGTTGATGTTACACCACCCCTCTAGCCAGAGAAAATTTGAATTCACAGCGATTTAAATTTTTACAAAAATTATAAAATCAACAATGGATAAATAGAGATGGGCACTAGGATCCCCTAGACAGATATCAGTATCCAAATTGTGGCGGTGAAAGTATAACAATGTCAAAATACTTGTTCAACAATGAACTTGAATGAAAATTTGCGGAAAGAGCATGAAAATTTGCGGGAAAGAACTTCCACCTACCTTGTTCAGCTCCTTTTCTTCTTTAGCGGCGGTTCAAGCGCGAAAATGTCTATAGGCCTCTGGTATGCATGCACTCGCGAGTGTAGAGGGTTTTGTAAAACATAACAAAGAAATTCACGAAAAACACGCTGCGGTTGTCATTTCGATAAGCTCCAAAATCATATATGGTAGCTCTCGTTGCTGAGCTGATGGGTGTTCTTTTCGCACATGCTCAAATGGAGTGGAAGTTTACTTTCATGCGCGCGAAAGTCAATTACTTTTAATTTTGAAAATAGGGAATTGCTTCGACCATACATGGACAGTAAATGTGAATAATAGAGAAAAAAAGAGATTATTTCAACTTTGAACAATACTATGATTATGAGGAAAAAAGAAGGAACGTATACATGACACAAAATAATAGTAGGAAAATGAGAAACCTCAACATTCTCACCACTTTTTGTTGAAGTTTCTCAACAAACTAACAATGAGGAAGAAGACACAATTTGTTTATTGGTCTTTTGTCTGTGCCACTACTAGTTTCTACTGTAGCAACACGGGATACCTTATCCAATCCATGATAGAGATCCACAATTCTAGCTTAGCGCCACTGCAAGGGCAGTGAGTTGTCTTGCTTAATAATGACTAAGTCAACAACCTTCAAAGGATTACCAAGATCGTTCCATTTGTGTTTCTGCTGTAAATTGGTTGAATATTCCATATGCCATCTGAACCAGAAGCTAGCACTCAAATTTTGCAATAACTGCCACCGGGACAGTAAATGTGATTTTAAATGACTCAAATCAGGGTCTGGAAGGCGAGTTAGAGGCTCCAATGTCAAGAAATGCCCCGGTGTCAGGACAGACAAATCGTTGGGATCCGTGCTCAACGGAGAGAGCGGTCGCGAATTCAATACAGCCCCAATTTGAGTTATGACCGTATATAATTCCTCAAACGTGAGAATTTGTGCACCTATCACCCTAGCAAAATGTGTTTTCAAGGACTTAACGCCTGCTTCAACCAAACCGAAAAAAAGGACTGGCTGTCGGGGGGTGAAAGGCCAAACTAACTTCTCGTTTTCAGCGGCAGTTGTCATAATCTCGAGAATGTATTTATTAGCACCGACGAAATTCGTGCCACAGTCACTAAAAATGTACGAACAGCGGC